GATGGGGGGTTTGAGACAGGGTCTTACTATGTAGTTGAGACTGACCTGGAACTCACTGTGTAGGCCAGGCTGGTCTCAAACTCAGTGATTCTCCTGCCTCAGCCTCCTGAGTGCTGGGATTATAGGCATATGCCACCACGCCCAGCCTGAAATAATGTATTTTTAAAAGAAATAAGCTTTCAAAGAAGAAAAGAGTAGTCTAAGTAGAAGAGGACAAATAATAGAGTTGAATGAAACAGAAGAAGGTGTGAATAACCTTTTATTTATGAAAGAAATTAGGGCTGTGCATGCTGGTGCAGGCTTGTAATCCCCACCCTAGGAAGGCTCAGGCAGGATTGACCTGAGTTCAAGGCCAGCCTGCACTGTGTAGTGAGACCATGTTTCAAAAAACCAGAAATCACAGAAATTAAGTTTGTAATAAAGTCTTCCCACAAACAAAAGTTCAGACTCATGGCTATGTATTGATGAATTATCTCAAAACATATAAGGAAGAAATAGTATCAGTTTTCCACAAGTTTCAGAAAATACTTATAAGGTCACTATTGTCTTGATACCAAATCAAAGAGAAACATGGGGGCGGGTATAGCTCAGATTTCTTATGAATGTGTATATTCAAAACTCATTAATAAGGTAGGTGTGGTGGCTCAGGTCTGTAGTTGCAGCTACTTGGGAGGCTGAGGCAGGAGGGTTGCAAGTTCACAGCCAATCTGGAGAAAAGAGGGAGGAAGGGAGATTGGTTGGATTTAGCAGTGTATAAAAAGGATAATACATTATGGCCAATTGGGTTTTATGCCTGTTGCAGGGCTGACATAACAGAACTCAGTAGCTGGGTGTGGTGGTGCACGCCTGTAAACCCAGCACTTGGGAGGCTGAGACAGGAGGATCACAGTGAGTTCCAGGCCAGCATGGGATACATAGTGACACCTGTCTCGGGGAAAATAAAAGAGAGAACTCACTGTAATTCACCATGTTAATAAAATAAAGAATTGTTAAGTGACTTTGTAATAGATACACAAAAAGCATTTTACATACATAGCATCAATTGATGATAAAAGCTGTCAGCTAACTATGGTTAAAAGGGAACTTCCTTACTCTGTTAAAAGGGATATGTGGAAAACCTGCAACTAACATCATACTTAATGGTGAAAAATTGAATGCTTGCTACCTAAAATCCAGAGTAAATCAAGGATATTTATTCTTACAACTTTTGTTCAACATTTCTGAAGGTTCTAGCCAATGCAATAAGGCAAGTAAAGGTAATAAACTTATAGGTGAGAAAGGAAAAAATAAAAACTATATTTTTTAGATGCCTTAACATTGACATGATTGTGCACATAAGAGATGCTAAGTAAAAAAAAAAAAAAAAAAAAAAAAGTGCTAAGTAAGCTGTAAAAAAGCTACTAGAGTTTAAATTTAGCTAGGATACAAGATTAATTTATAAGAATGAATTACCTTTCGTATCTCCAGTGAACAGTTGACAGCTGAAATTTAAAGTAGTGTCATTATAGCATCAAATAATATGCAATTTAAAATATTCTTTAAGAACACAGAAGAGAGAATTCATAGAATTCCTTGTAGAACTCTGTGTAGTTCCATTTCATAGATGAAGATTTTAAGGTATAGACAATTAAAAAGTATTTGTTTATGGGCACACCCTTGCAAACATTTCTTAATAGATACTGTGTTAGTAATACAGTGGTGGAAGAAGCATTGATCCCTTGGCTCTTGAGATTTACAATCTTGTGGGGATTGAAGGGAGAAGTACACTTACTTAGAGCATGGAGTTTCCAGTTTTGAACAGGCATTTATGATTTAAAGGAATGATTTAAATCCTTCACCTTTCCATTGGATTTATTTTTATTTATTCATTTTTTGTTTGATCGAATTTGGGACCTTGTGCTTGTGAGGCAGGCGGTGGAACCTCTGAACTAAATTCCCAGCCCTGTTGGATTTTAAATATTGTGACTTGTTGAATAATTCGGCCTCTCTGTGTGGCAAGCTGTTTTCTTTTGATAACGTGCTCGAAGCCAGGCATGATGGTGCATGCTTGGCATGTTTGAGCCCAACCTGGGCTGTTTAATAGCTTTGCAGGACCCTGCCTCAAAATTAAAAAATTTTAAAGGGCTGGGAATGTAGTTCAGTTTGAAGATCCTAGGTTCAGTCCCCAGTTCTACGATCACAATCAACAAACAGAAATTAATACATGCTTGGCAGTTTCTATAGCATGGTTAAAACTGCTGGCTGGCTTGATTGATCAAAGTTCATGTTAAAAGGATAACCCGGTACAACCTTCCACATGGGGGAAGAAGTAACTATTTTTCAATCACTACTGCTCCCTCCCCCAGTATGTAGCATTAATTTATTTAATCCTTGCAACATCCCTAAGGTAGGTGGTTTTTCCTCTTTTATCACAGATGAGAAGACCAGAGCAGATAGAATTTAAGTGATTTGCCCGGTTTCATAGAGTGGTTCATTGACACAGTCCCACATCTCTCTGACTTTAAACTGTTGGTACCTGCTGTTCTCAATCATTTTTTGGTTGGTCATACTCCTGGACCATCCCATTCTTTCCCACTCAGGAAATGCAAGTAAGTGAGATTAATTTTTTACAGTGCTAACTTTGAATTTATTATTTTATTTTGAAAGTACATTATCACTCATGCTGGATATGGTGTTGTACACTTGTACTTGGGAGGCTGAGGCAGGAGGATTACCTTGAGTTTGAGGCCAGCCTTGATTACATAGTGAGATCCTGTCAAAAAAAAAAAAAAAGTATATTACAAGAAAAAAGATAACTTTTGTTTTTCTCTTTTGAGGGGTAACCTTAGGGATAGAACTCAGGATCTGTGTACTGAGCTTCATGGTCAGGCTTTTTTTGTTTTGAGACAGAGTCTTACTAAGTTGTTTAAGGCAGGCTAAACTGGAGCTTGTGATCTTCCTTATCTCAGCCTCCTATAACACTGAGCTGACAGGCAGCTACCATGCCTGTCTTGTCATAACTTCTTGTGATACTTTTCACAGTTGGTTTTTTGTTTGTTTGTTTGTTTTGCTTTTTTCCACAGCTGTTTTTTTTTTTTTTTTTTTTTTTTTTTAAGTGGTGGCGTACACCTGTATAACCCCTCCCGAGGCAGGAGGATCACTGCAAGTTTGAGGGCAGCCAGGGCTACATAGTGAACAAAGTGAGACCCTGTCTCAAAAAGCCAAAAACAATTTTAGTAGTTTCTTGTTTTGCTTTTGGGAGAAGTTGGGATTGAACCCAAGGCCTTTTACTGAGCTACATCCCCAGTTTTTTGTTTTTGTATTTTGTTCGTTTTTATTTGTTTTTTTATTTTTTTGAGACGTTTTTATTTGTTTTTTTATTTTTTTGAGACAGGGTCTCGCTATGTAGTTCAGGCTGGCCTTGAAATCATGGTGATCCTTCTGCCTCAGCCTCCTGAGTACTGGGTTTACAGATGTGCTGCACCACACCTGGCTTATTTTGAGACAGGGTCTTGCTAAATTGCCTAGCTCAGCTCAAATTTGTGATCCTCCTGCCTCAGCTCCCGGAGTATATTCCTTAACGAAGTCTTAATATCCTTTTAAATTGTTGTCTATTTAAGTTGCTAAATTTGTTTAATTCTGAGGAGTTTGTGCCTTAGAAATTTGTGCTTTTGGAACATAAGTAACAGTAATCTAGCTAAGAGTCTGTATATGAATTGTATCACCTTTGATAGTAAATTAGGTAGTATAATTTTTGGAATTGTAAGGTGAACAGATGAGATTGCCATTCTTTGCTGGAAAAAAATCTTCCAGCTGCCTTCCCCACTCACATAGATGGAAACTGGAAACAGAGCTAAGGTGTTGTATGTAGGAGGCAGAGTTATTGATTGACACATGCCTGTAATCCCAGCATTTGGGAGGCTGAGTCCGTAGAATCACTGCAAGTTCAAGGCCAGCCTAAACTACCTAGCAAGACTGTCTTAAAAAACCCAAAATAAGTAAATGAATTTAAAAATTATTGTCTTCTGGTCCTTAAAGGGGCATAAAGGACATTTGTGATATCTTTCTGGCTCCTTTTTAGGGAGAGGGGACAGTGCTGAGGATGGAATCCCATGGATTCTCTACAAGCAAGCTAGCTAGCCCCAGTCATTTTTTTGTGTGAGTGTGTGTGTACTAGCAGTTAAACCCATGAGCATTCTGCCACTGGGCTATGTGACCAGTATTTTTTTTCCCCTATTTTGAGATTGGGGCTAAATTGCCCAAGCACATTTTGAACTTGTGATTCTCCTGCATTAGTCTCCCAAATTCTGTGATTATAATTGTGTACTATCATGCTTGCCTCTTAACCCTTTTAAAATTTTATTTTATTTTTATTTTCAGATAGAGGAGTATTGATAAGTTGCCCAGGTGGGCCTCAAACTTTAGATTCTCCTGCCTCAGCCTCCCTAAAGTTTGGAATTACAGGCATGTCCACTGTGTGTAGCCCAAAGTCTTTACATATAAGGAATCTGAGGCTTAAAGAATTAAGACTTGCTGAAGCTTGTTCCACAGTCAGCTGGAAGTAGAGTTCAGACTCGTGCATCTTGTTGTTGTGCCAATATGTTGGGTTCTGCAGTAGGAATTTTATTTCTTGTAGATGTCAACAGGGTTTGTTTCTTGTACATTAAGTATTGCTATCTTCTCTGCCATGGAATTCAAGAACCTAAACATAGTTGTCATCATCAAGCTTTCTTCAGTCATATCTCTTGGGTATTATAAATCTGAATTATATTGATTTTATTTATTTTTTTGTGGTACTGGGGATTGAATCCAAGGGTACTTATCACTGATTGATAGTCTCAGCCCTTTTTATTTATTTTTTTCTTAATTTTGTTGAGACAGGGTCTCACTGTATACTTTAGATCACATTGACCTTGAACTTACTAATGTAGCAGAGACTGGCTTCAAACTTGTGGCAATCCTTCTGTTTCAGCCTCCTGAGTGCTAGGATTACAGGTGCATGCCATTATGCCTGCCCCCCCACCCCGTCTCCTTTTTTTGAGACAGGCTGGCCTTGAATTTGCAGTCCTTTTCCCTCAGCTTCCCAAGTAACTACAATTACAAGCTTTCACCACTGCACTTGGCTTTGAATGTGCCACAGGATTCTATCTTTAAATACTGAATTTGTAGTTTGTTTGTTTTTTGTTTTGTTTTTGGTGCCGGGCATCGAACTCGGGTCCTTGCGCTTGCAAGACAGTTGCCAGAACCACTGAGCTAAATCCCCGGCCCGAATTTGTAGTCTTTTGACCTGTATAGGACATGTGTCAGCTTCCCAACATGGACAGAATATCTGAAATTATTAACTTATAAAGAAGAAAGATTTATTTGGCTCACACTTTCAGAGGTTTTATTCCATAGTTGGCTGCTCCATTGGTGGGTCTGTGCTGTGGGAGAACATTATGACAGGAAATGAGTGATGAATGAAATTGCTCACCTTATGGTGGCCAGGAGCAAGGAGAGAAAGGAAGGACACATGGTCTCAATGTACCCTTCAAGGGCATGGACCTAGTGAGTAAACTTTCTCCAGATACCTCCCGTTATCAGTGCCGTCAACTGGGACCAATCCTTCAATACATGTACTTTTTTTTTTTTTTTATCAGGGATTGAACTCAGGGCCTTCTGCTTGTGAGGTAGGCGGCAGCACCACTGAGCTAAATCCCCGGCCCTCAATACATGTACTTTTGAGAGATGCTTACAATTCAAAGTACAAAAAATACAAGAGTGGTTTTTTAGCATAAGAAAGCTAAAAACATCACTTAGAGACCTTGTAATGAAATACATAGTAGTGCATATTGCTAGTTTTTCTACATATATTAAAATCATACTCCTCTTAGGTTTTTAAAAATGATTTTTATTTTAAAATATACATACTTTTATACTGAGAACTGTAATTACTAACTCTTCAGACAGTAAACGATTTCAAAGAACTACCATAAGGTGTTGACACATATAGACTTAGCTTTTGGATCATTGTTCTCTATTTTTTGTATTCATTCATTTAGTGGTACAGGGCCTTGCTGTGTTCCAAGCATATTCTACCACTGAGCTATATCCTTGGCCCCAAGGTCATTGTTGTTCCTTAAATAATCATTATGTAAGCATATTTGTAGAGCAGTGTTTTGTCACTTATTTAAAAATTTTAAATGGAATAAGAGATTTTAAAATTAAGGGAGAAAATGATGACCTAATAATTTCCATAAGTGATCAAGAGGCTGTGAAGAATAGGAATTACATTTGAGCTGGGGATTTGGTTCAGTGGATCCGCCACCTGCTTTGCAAGCGCAGGGGCCCGAGTTTGATCCCTAGTACCCCCCCCCAAAAAAAATTACATTTGATGCCTTCCTGTGTCCATTATAACCCCTAGAAATCATCACCATACAATATACCTATAAAATGCCATCCATGGTAGTTCTAGGCAACCACTAATCTTTCTGTTTCCATAGATTTGCCTTCTAGACAAATTTCATAGGAATAAAGTCATGCAATGTGTGGCTCTTTGTGGCAGGCTTCTTCACTTAGCATCGTGTTTTTAAGGTTCACTTATGCTTTAGCATGGACCAGTACTTCATCTTATTGGTAAATAATAATTGTATACAAAAATGTGTTTTATTAGCATGTAATATTCCAGTTGTATATAAACAATATTTGTAAGCAAAATGAAGCATTTGTTTTGGTTATTTAGACTGGGTCTCTATATATTCCATTATGGCGTTGAACTTGCTGCATAGCCCAGGCTGGGCTTGAACTCAAGATCTTCCTGTCAACCTCCCAAATCTGGGATTGCAGGCATGCACCACCACATCTGGTTTAACCAAACCACATTTCTGTATGTATTTATCACTTGATGGACATTGGATTGTTTCCATTTTTTGCCTATTACGAATAGTGCTCCTTGTGAACATTAATGGACAAGTTTTTCTGTGTAAATGTTTTCAATTCTTTTAAGGACGGAATTAATTCATTTCTTTTGAGTGGAATTGCTGGTCTCATAATAAGTTCTTGTTTTTAACTTTTTAAGAAACTTGTGGTTTTCCAAAGCAGCTTGTTAAGGTTAGGATTTGAAATGGTCCCTCATAGCTCATATGCTAAAGATTTGGCTGCCAGTTGCGAGTTTTGAGAAGTGATTGGATCATGAAGGTGCTAATATCATGTCATGAAGTGGATTCATCCATTGATGAGGCTGGTCTCATAATAAGTTCTTGTTTTTAACTTTTTAAGAAACTTGTGGTTTTCCAAAGCAGCTTGTTAAGGTTAGGATTTGAAATGGTCCCTCATAGCTCATATGCTAAAGATTTGGCTGCCAGTTGCGAGTTTTGAGAAGTGATTGGATCATGAAGGTGCTAATATCATGTCATGAAGTGGATTCATCCATTGATGAGAGAATGAGCTAAATCCCTGGCCTGATGAGATTATAATTTGATGGCATTATTGGGAGGTAATGAAAACAGGAGATGGGGCCTAATTGAAGGGCATGGTTCATACTAGTATGACGTTGGTTACTCTGTTTGGTTCCTGTCTGCTTCCTGTCTTGGTCACTCTCACACTGTGCTTGTGCATCTCTCCCTCCCCC